TTGCTGAGAGACCTGGCCCCTTACTGTACCATTTTCATGTGTGACCATTTCCATCCCAGCGTTGCAGACTGATTTCCCTATGGGAATGAGTATTATACTTAGAGTAACATCGACGAAACTCCTTTCCGGGGGCAGATAAAGATTTTGCAGCAGTCTTTTTTTCCCCCATTATCAAATCACAGCAGTCTACTCTTAATCCTATTGCAGCTCTGGTAGCTAATTTAGCTGTACCTGCTATTTCAACTGTCAACTGGTTGTTTTGGTTTAGTGCCATATTTGTATTTTTTGTAGTTGTTTGTCCCTGCAGTCTGTCTTTTGAATGTAAGCAGTCTTTTAGCTTTTTGTTTCTTGAGGTCTATATGGAAAGTACTTCAGTTCATTATGCTACTGTATTAGCAAAGGAATTAAAATAGGTTAAGGTATGGTGTATGAACATGGAATGAACTGAACTGATTTTGATTAAAAGTAATTTGGCATTCTTTGGCAGATTATCAGAGGGCGGTAAACAATTCTCCATAGACATACACTGTCTAGGTAGTTCTGCTGAGAATAATTTTGGAATAAGTGTACCTGTAAAAAAATTGAGCACTGAGAACAAATAAACAAGTACAAAATTCTGTATAGTCTGAGGAAGTACAGATTTTATAACTTTATCCTTGAAAAACCTCAAACTGTGAAATAAAACCAAAGGAAGCATTGCATAACAATTTACAACATTTGTTGTACTTGTGAAGTTGTTCTGCTTGATGGTTTAAAAAAATAAATTGTAATGATTAGACTTCTACAGTATTTAATTTGTTTTGGTTCTTGAAGTAATATGTACTTATTATTCTGTGTTCTGATATTAAAGATCTGTAACTCATTTTTTCTGCATTTGAAAATGTGTTATAATTTACAAGAAAATTGTAATGTCTTTTCTTGTTTGTTGTGCATGTACTTAGAAGTGATAAAGTTCTAATTAATGTATTTCTTGGAACAGATGTACCAAGTCTAATATTAGATGATAGTGAAGATGAGAACGCTTCATCAATTTTTGAGACGAGCTGTCCCTCAGGATCACCAAAGAAACAGTCATCAGCTGCTATACATAAACCCTACCTTCATTTTACAATGTGAGTGTTTCTCTACGTGCGTATAACCAGAGAGATAAAACCATGAAATTCTTGCATCTGGAGAGGTAACAAAGACAATTTGTAACAAAAATTGCTTTGTGGTGGCAATGGTGTTCTGTAACAGAAGCAGGTAAGTGTATGGGCTAGAGTTTTAGACATGTGAATGGTCTTAAGAAAGGTACATGAGGCCTAGATACAATAATCAGAAATATTTTGCAACAGACGGGTGTAGCTTAGAAGTAAGGATGTTAATAGCAGTTCTTAATTGTAACAAACCATTTTGATTTGGAAAATTAATAACTGGGAAGAGAAGTATGTAGGAATATTCTGGGGGGATTGCTTGCTTTTTCTTGGTTGAAAGTATTGTTGAGCTTCAGTGTATGCAGCTGTTTGGATGCACTATATAAGTGATGCATTCAGCATTCCTAACACCATTTTTTAAATTGTTTTTCATGAAAGAAAAGTTTCTGAAAAATGGGGATTTAGAAAATGTGTGAAACTTGAACAGGTCTTTCCTATATGAGTTGGACTGGCTGCAGTAATCAACAATAACAAGCTAACATTTCTTCATTTTGTATTAAGAATAGTTTTAGGCTACTTTGTAATGGATTCTGCAAGGAGTTTGCTAAAGAAAATGAGGTTAGGAAAGCTGTTCAATAGTAGTCCTGTTTAGTAGAGCCATCTTGTGGAAAACTGCTGAAATTTTTGTTCTAAACAGTGACGCCAGAAAAACATTTATGGAAAATTAAGCTTAAAAATATGGATATAAGCCCATGTAGTTTGAGGGACATAGTCAATTATTTTAATGCCAAATTTAAGCTTTTGTTGTGGGGGTGGGGAGTGGAACCCAAACCACTGATATATGTTTGTGTGTTTAAATAAAGTAATCTCAAAGAGTATGTTTATTTTTGTGAAGTATGTAAGCCTCCTGTAGTCTGTCGTTCTGAGCATTTTTGATTGCTGTCTGTGTATGTAACCTCCACCAGCAGAACTGAAAAGGCAAAGGTCAGCTATGTTCGTAGCTGTTATAAAATATTGAACCTGCAGTAAAACCAGGCAGTCTTGTTTCAGTGCCTGAGCTGACTGATGTGTGGATAAAAATGCCTTGATGAGAGGTATATATTATCAGTTTTCTGTACATGGAAAATACTTGTAATGGAAAAATCTAATGCTTCTCTGTTCATGTCTCACTTGTCCCCAAAAGTGGGCAAAAGCTCCCTAACCAAACAAACACAAAAACCTCCAAATCCTTGTATGGACTCTTTAGGATTTCTTCTCAATAGCAAAAACCAACAAAAATAAACTTATCTTTGTAGTTTTTAGCTTTAAAATCTTCTGTCTAGATATCTACTGAATAGAATTGTATCAACATGCTAGAATAGAAGATGAATAATGATTTTATTTAATCCTACTTCAGATTCTATTTCTTAAATAAACAAAATACTGAAATGTTAGGTGGTTCTTGGAGATCTTAGGTCGCACTTTAAAGGATGAATGGATTGACCTGGGATTCCTGAGGCTACTGAACAGATACTTTAGCAGTTAGGACTGAACTAGATGGGATTAAATAAGTCTTCACTGGAAGTCCATTAAATCTTTTTATATGATGGAGGAATTGGTTTTAAATAAACTGGTTATAATAAAAATTTTCATGAATTTAATATGTGCTTAGCTTTGCACAGATAAGTTTTAATTAAATAGTTGTGAAATAAAATAGAAAAAGCTTGACTTACTGAGACTTGGAGTAGTGTTGAAGTATACTAGAGTTAGTTGAGTCTTTTTAGGCTATTGCAGGAAACCATTACCCATTACAAGAAGCGTTTTGGATTCTAAAGTGTCTTATATTGCTGGAGAGAGTCCAGTGTAGGGCTACAAAGATGATGGAGGAAGTGGAGCATCTCCCTTATGTGGAAAGGCTGAGGGAGCTGGGTCTCTTTAGTTTGCAGAAGAGAAGATTGAGGGTTGACCTCATTCATGTTTATAAATATATAAAGGGTGAGTGTCACGAGGATGGAGCCAGGCTCTTCTTGGTGACAAACAATGATAGGACAAGGGGTAACGGACAATGGGTAACTGGAACACAGGAGGTTCCACTTAAATGTGAGAAGAAACTTCTTCTCAGTGAGGGTGACAGAGCACTGGAACAGGCTGCCCAGAGAGGTTGTGGAGTCTCCTTCTCTGGAGACATTCAAAACCCGCCTGGACGCCTTCCTGTGTAACCTCATCTAGGTGTTCCTGCTCCGGCAGGGGGATTGGACTGGATGATCTTTTGAGGTCCCTTCCAATCCCTAATGTTCTGTGATTCTGTGATATATATCTATCCACTGATAACATTGGCATGTTTAATTGTATTTTGTAACTGTTATTATGTTGCAGGTCAGCTTATCACCAGCCAACCCCTTACAGACCAAGATTACTGCTATCTGGAGACAGAGGTTCGGGTCAGACTTCGCACCTTGCTCCAGCTCTATTGCACACTCTGGAGAAATTCTCTGTTCACAGGCTAGATCTGCCAGCACTTTATTCAGTCAGTGCCAAAACGCCTGAAGAATCATGTGCACAGGTGACAGTTCAGCTTCTCTTGTAATGAGTGAATTCTGTAAATCTGGAACAGATGAGTTGCATTGGTATAAAGGCAGCTCACTGGAATGTAACTTGAAAGCCAGGTTTTCATAGGCTCCTTCTGTTTTCATGTTCAAAAGCAAGGGGTCTCTAGAGGGTGACTGAGATCTCTCTGCTGACTAAGGAGAGTAATTACGTTTTTCACTTGCCCCCTTAGTCACATACCTAATGTCGGGTGAGCTGAATCTGGGCGTTAGGTTCCCGATTTTCATTTGATTAGCGTGTGTATGAATGGGTGTGCTGTGATTCTAGGTTCAATTAATTAGTTTTAAATGTGTTAGGTTTCAAAACAGATTGTGGTGGATTTTGTGTAGATTGCAAACCAGTTTAGTTTTCATCTTGTTTATTCAGTCTTGTCATACTCGTTTTAAAAACTTAAGTAGTTGTTTTTAGTCTCCCTAGCACATTGACATAAAATTGAATGATACAGCTAACGGTCACAAACACTTGTTTAGAAACCCTTCACCATGAGAATTTTATTTTAGCTGAACTTTTTTATATAAAGGACCACAAACACGAGTCGTTTCCTATTCCACAAGAATTTTATTACCGACAAGTGATAATAACAATTTGTTTAAATACCACTGTTTCTTTTTAATTAGATCTTTCGTGAAGCTCGAAGAACAGTACCAAGTGTTGTTTACATGCCTCATATTGGTGATTGGTGGGAAGCCGTCAGTGAAACTGTGAGAGCTACTTTTCTAACGTTGCTGCAAGACATACCATCTTTTTCCCCTATATTTCTACTGTCTACCTCTGAGTCCATGTATAGTGAATTGCCCGAAGAGGTAAGTTTATTGTGCAGAGAGGTGTTGTTAGGGAGGTATGTGCTCTTCAGAATGTTTTGATCTTGTGAAAACATTGTTTTGCACTGGTTTTCTAACTTAATTTAAAATATGTCAAATTTAAGATGTAATATTAATTAATTTTGTAATTTGTTTGTTTGTAACTTTCTTGAATGAGGGATGTATGTCCATATTACTGATTTTTCATAATACCCTTGCTGCTTTGCTGAGAAGAGAAAGTTGTTCATTTTGACAAGTCACTCCAGTGTAATTAAATGCAGATTTAGTCTGAAGGCCTAACCATTAGGTTTACATCTTCTGAGGTTCAGGACTAGGGAAGGAAGTTCCTTTTTTTTTTTTTTTGTTTTCCTTTAACATTTTCTTTGATTTTTTTTTTTAATTTTTTTTTTCTTCTACCCTTTGTCTTCACTGCAGAGATGGCCACTGTTAGGAACATGGGATACCACAATTTTAGTTATTACAGAAAATTCAGTGAGAATTGCAAATCTTTGTCTTCTCTTTGCTGTGTATGCAGCTTTGTGTAGAGTTCACTATCTTCTCTCCTGTGACTATTTTTGAAAAGTTTGTGGCTGGTGTTTTAATATGATCATTAATCATTAATTTTGAATGGAGACTGAATTTTTGTGTCTTCTTATTTTTCTAGGTGAAATGCATTTTCAGAATCCAGTATGAAGAGGTTTTTTATATTCAGAGACCAAGTCAAGAAGACAGATTGCGATTTTTCAAAGGGTTAATTCTTGATGAGGCAGCAATGCCCCCACCAAGAAGGAAACAGGCTGGTAAACTAAGTTACAGTAATAATGATGATACTAATGTCATCGGAATGTTTTTCAATATTTTCCTTTTTCACAAGGTGTGGGTAAATGACAATTTATGTAATTAACATTTGGCAGTGTTAATCAGTGCCCAGAGTAAATTTTGGGTGTTACAGTTTTGGATAATGGAGAGCTGTGGGGTTTAGGATGCAGTGTTAGATCGATCAAGTAAATTAAACGTATGATGAAATTTGGAGTGGCGTAATCCCAAGAGCCACTGTGTTATTAATATTTCCATAGTCTGATTTCTTGTTTTGTCCCTAGCTCTTCGTGCTCTGGAAGTTCTTCCTCTTGCACTGCCGTGTCCTGCCCGGGAGCTGTCAGAAGCAGAAAAGCAGCGGATGGAGGACCAGGAAGAGAACACATTGAGAGAGCTGCGGTTGTTTCTCAGGGATGTTACCAAGAGGCTGGCCACAGACAAGCGCTTTAACATCTTCAGCAAACCGGTGGATATTGAAGAGGTCTTGTTTCAGTAATGTGCAAAAAAATGAAGTTGAAGCTATTAGAAAAAGAATATGAATTTTTAAAAGGAATTAATAAGAACAATAGATGTTTGATCCGTGATCTTTCCAATCTAAAATGCTTGGTTTTAGCTGGTGAGATAGTCACAGCCCTATAATCTGTGATACAAGGAGTTGGAGCATGTTCTTTGGCTGTACTGCTGACCTATTGAAAAGCCTTGTGCACTCCTGTCAATTTTATAACTGAAATCAGCATTTAAAAATGCCATCACTCCTATGCCTACCTGTGCTCTTGAAATATTTGAAACCATAAATATAATTCCTTAATAAAGGCTTTTACAACATGGTAATCATAGGCATGATAATATTGGGAAAGTGATCTGTGTTCTCTAATGCATTCAGCGTTAATAGTATTGTTGAATAATTTCAGCAGTAATGCTTTTGGCTGCCATTAATCATAGATGGTAGCACATTATAAGGCATTAACTGGTCGATTATGGAGTGTGCACCCCTAACTGATGAGACAGTTCGATCTGCAAATCTATTTTCAGGTGCTGGTATGTGAATAGGATTTTGTTCAGCCTGACTTTGAGATCAAATGCTGGCCCACTGCAAGCTTTGCAAGCTTGCCAATTCAAAACAAAATAAAGCAAAAAACCTTAACTGCTTCTAAAGAGAAGCACCTCTTTTGGAAGACATTAAGAGATGAATATGGGGCATTAGAGGTAGAGAGCAGATTCGCAGTGTAAGTTCCATGCAGGATGGAGCAGGCATCTTTTCGGGGTCCATGCAGTCCTCTCTTAATTTGAGCTTTCCATAGCGCTCTGTAGCTGGCTGGTTTTGAAAGGCTGACAAGAGCTCTTTAATGGTAACTTACAGCGTGAGCATTGTCTGAGCAGCAACTTTGGCGCTTTTTAAAAGTTTTAAAATTTTTTTTTAAATCAAATTGCTTGGAAGGTCTGTTACTGTAGGAAACTCTTGGTACTCATAGTAAAGGCAGTTTCCTCACTCGTACTTCCGTTGCAGGGGGTGCTGCTACATGATAAGTCAAGGATTTTCCTGACTAGCAGTGTTTACAGTTTCCAGTGAAGTTTGTGTCTGATGTGCTAACAAGAAAAGGAAGGCCCTGGCTTGGCTTTCCGAAAACTGAACCAATTGTTGTCATGGCTCCATAGAGGGAGACAAAAAGAATTTTTTGCCATTTTAAGTTTTCATCATAAATGTCAGTGTATCTGTTTAAGGAATTAGGTGATAGACTGCTGTCCGCTGAAGTAACACGTTAATGTTCATTTATGTTGTAGTGTATTTTTTGTATGAATGTTTACAGATACTTTATTAAAAAAAAATTCTTGTGGAGTGGAGCCGTTATGGCTTGATCTGAACATGTGTTTTTCTTCAGCAGCTCCCATTTTGGCAGCTTCCATCATACGGGGGTGATGTCAAAAGAAAAATCACAATACTGTTTCTGAGGCTGCCAGTATTTTTAATTGATTGTAATGTTAATCACATCGAAACATTCAAGTATAGGATTTTTTTCTTTGAAGTAAATAACAAATTCATAGATACTCTCTTTTTTGGTGAACTTTGTTACAGCAGCAGTGCTTGATGCATTTGACTATCAAGCTTGAGCTCCTTATGGTACCATTAATTACATTAATACTTTTTAATGTGCCCTAGTGGATGATAAATCTCCAGTTAGGAGCTAAGCTCATAGTAAACTGTGAGCTCTGACCCAAAGCTTTCTCTTTAGACTGTCCTTCCATACAGTCTGAAGTCTTCAATCGATAAAACCTGACTTTTTTTGTTGAATGAGTGATTGAAGGAGCTATTCAGTAGAAGAAGATTTTTAAAAGCTGATAATCTGACTGGTCAGTTTAATGAGAATCTCACCTACAAGGTGAGCAAAACAGCCTCCTTAAGTTTTCCTAGAGTTTTGAGTTAGGCTGGTTGGTTTTTAGCTTTCTAACCCAAGACAGTGCTAGAACACTGTAGAAAAAAAAAATCAGTCTAAGTAAAATGAAAAAATATATTTATGTTAAAGTGTTTTGCCTCAAAAATACCATTTAATAAATTTTGAAAGATAAATTGGCGAGCTACTGAAGAAAAAGTAACTTTGGAAGTCCTGTGTTTAATTTAGTCTGTTAAAACATCTGTTTTCAACATAAATTTGTTTAGAAATCAAAATGTTTAATGTGTTAGAGCTAATAATGTGTAGTAAACAAGAGTACAAAGATGTGAAATTGGCAGTATTTAAATAGAATGTGTGTGGTCCTGTGTCATTTCTGTATGCTGTTCGTTTGTAGGTTTCAGATTACCTTGAAGTTATCAAAGAGCCAATGGACCTGTCAACAGTAATAACCAAAATTGATAAACACAACTACTTAACAGCCAAGGATTTTCTAACAGATATTGACCTGATCTGCAGCAATGCATTGGAGTACAATCCAGACAAAGATCCTGGAGGTAAGGACTTACATCGTTTTGGCCTACCCAAACACAGAAGCCTGCTATTTAATTGCATATTTGATTACTAGTCAGGTATTTAAATAAACAGCTTTCTACGTGATAATTGGGATAAGCAAGTCCTAAGGGGCTGTGCTTGTTGTATTCTGAGGCATGTGATGCTCTGGGGGACATTATAAGAGCAGGAGAACTACAGCGTTCAGAGTTGTTTTCTAATAAATTAAGTTTTGTAGTTCCTTTTCGAATTTGATAGCTCCTTTTCAGTGTATAGACTTTGTATATGCAACAAAACCCCAGTGTAATTTGGAGAGCTCTGTAGAGAATCCTGCACGCAATCTGGCAGTGCCCTGCTTTTATTTCCACATTGGCTTAGAACGTGAGATTCACCCACGGAAATTAAGTACTATGTATTTGGGGATACAAATAAAACAGGATAAATCCTTAGGCAATGAAGTCAGTTGCAGCTGATTTAGAGAGATTAGAAGGTATTGTCTTGACAAAATGTAATAGGATGCTTTCAATTAAAACGGAATTTGGAGATTGAAATGCATGTAAAAGCTGTTCAGGCTCGAAACTAAGGAAAGAAGATCTTGTGTGTTCTTTGCTATGGCTGCCTTACAGTGTGCGTTGCCAAAAGAAAGCCTTTCATTGGCAGCTTCCAGAGTCACCAATGAAACCACAACAAAGCACCCTGTCAATGTTGTTGTATTTAATAGACATGATACTTGGAAATCTTTGTTCATCTGCAAATGTAGTCCAATCCATTAAAAAGGTTGTCATAAAATCCTGCAAAATGTTACCAGGTTAAAGCCTGGTTTTCTGTATTTTTCTTCTAAAATTTTTGTTTTGTGAGCTATTTGCAAATGTCTCGTGCATGGACTAGATATGGTGTAGTCTGGTCAAACAAATACACTTGTTTCATGTTGCCCTTTGAACCCAATGCTGGTTCATTTCTGTAGAAGATAAACATTATTTCTTCAATTTATGATGCATTTTGGTTTACAACTAAAAAAATACATTGATAAAATACAGGAAAAGATTTTCTATCTTCTTGATAACATACTTTTGAGGATTTCTAATGTGTAATTGATGTGAGCTAATCAAAGCCCTTGATGGACACTGTTTAGAAGATGAGGACTGAGACATAACCTCCTGCATGTGGCTGACGTATGTTTGTGACTAAGTGATGGTCTTTGGGAAAAATTGGCAGTAAATACACCCTCTGTTCTCAGATCTGCTCAGAATCATAAACATGAGGCACAGGTTCAGTGTGGCAGAAACATCAAATAGCAAAGATGGCTTGGGGAACATTTAGTGGTAGAAGTTTTCATTGAACTTGTCCAAAGACAGAGAGAGAGAGTCTTAAGAAATATATGTAGGGAACCAAAATAGGGACACGTTGGTTTTCCTTGCTGCCAGGAGTGAGCTGGGATAAATGGATCTGGCTGTTTCTAGGTGAAGTTTTGGGTTGAAGTTTGTCATCATTGAGTAGGTGATGAAAGATAATTCTGTCCTCTGTGTTGCGAAAAATTAATGAATTGCTCTTCTGGCATGCAAGAATTAATTGAGCCTTTGTATGAGTACGCAGCTGAAACAGCACATCATGGCTATTCCGAGTAAACGTGATGTGTTAACTGAATATTAACCTATTAATGTTCACGTTGGTTAAAGCTGGGCATATATGCTTGCCTCTGCTTCGCACTTGAATTTGCAGAAGAATTGTACTGTACCTGCTCCTGTCCCGTCATTCAGTTGGAAAGGGGATAGCAATACCAAACCAGCTGGTATTCAAAACTGGTTACTGTGGGTTTTTTTACTGGTACTTTGCTATAAAATTTCAGATAGGTTATATAATAAGATAGTTGGGTTTTCTTCCCCTCTGTTGTTTGACCACAAAATGTTCTTAAGAGCATGGAAAACAACCATTGTTAGACATTATAGTGTTTGCCTCTTTGACGTGCTGTCTGAGGGAAAGTCTTGCTCATCACAGAGTATGAGGAAAGTAGAAGTTCAATCAATACTCTTGATTTGATTTTTTTTTCTTCTTTATTCTTCCCTCTTTCTTGTGTTGAGGGCATCTTAAATTTTATTATCTGACCAACTTTATAAAGTCTAATATCACAAAATTACATCTGCAGAGAAGGCACTGTATTTTTTGTGGTCATAAACCATAATACTTCACAAATACATGTGGGTAAAAATTTCTAGTTTCCAGTTGATTTAAGTGGTGGTAGATTTCCCCGGAAAACACGTGTAGGGTTAATTTGAGCTGGATACTGGATATTCTTTCATTCAGCAGTTTTTCCAGCTGTAAAATTTGCTGTGTCTAGGATTATAAATCCTGTTTAGTAAATGTTCACTGATACTCTTAATTGTTGTCTTTACTGATTATTAAAACAGATTAAATCTGCTAATTGTATAATATGTTGTAGACATTAATGTTGATGTTTGCTGTTGAAGTACCTCCATCAACTGGAAGAAGTAATTCAGTATGGATGAACTGACAAATTAAACGTGTTTGTACTGAAAGCAAACCATGACTGTTGTAGCTCTCATTGAAAAGCAACATTCTAGATGTCCATTTTCTCCACATATGGGCTTACTTCTTAAGTTACAGTTACTTTTCAAATTTCAACCTGATCGGTATAACTTCTTCTGTGCGTTTCAAAGTTACAGGAACTGGTCTTCTCTGACAAAATGGTTTTATTGTAAGTCACATTTAGACTACCAATGTGGACAGTAATTTTTGTCCTGTTCTCCAAATGGAGGTGAAAATGTAGCAAACCTGAGGCTTGTTTCTTGCTAGTTTTTTCTGAATGGATTGAAATAAGAAATAGCTATTTAATATAAGCAATCTCTTAGCACAATTTTGAATTCTCTAGCAGTTAAATAAAAATTAAACAATAATTTAAGGTTAAAAAAAAGTCAGGGGAGGAATATAAGCAAGCCAGGTCTACCTTACAGACTCGGGAGACCTCCAGTGCACTTTTGGAGGCAGTATAATTGTATGAATGTTCCTGGACCCCAGTGGGTAAATCCATTCCTGGACAAGTCTGTTGTTACTTCTGGGACTCACTGCGCTCCATTACATGGTGTAGGTCTGCCTGTGGAAACTGGCTGCACCTGCTGATTCCAGCAGGTTTCTAAGGATTGCAAGTTAATTTAGATGTGTTCGTCACTCAGTTCTTCTATTTGTTTTTAAATGCCACTATTGATTGAAGTAACTATTTGTACTTCTGAAAATTCCTGTGTCTCTTAAATAGCTGGGTTGTGATTTTTGAGCATACTATGGTATTGATCGATCCACATTTTCATATATTTGTAATATTTCCCAGTTCTGTCTATATAAAGAATGTACACTTGTAATATACAGTACAGAACAATAGAAATGATAAAGAACTTACATAATTGTCATAAAATTAACAAGTGGGGTGTCCTGTTTTCTAGATAAAATAATTAGACATAGAGCCTGTACTTTGAAGGACACTGCTCATGCTATCATTGCTGCTGAACTGGATCCAGAATTTAATAAGATGTGTGAAGAAATCAAGGAAGCAAGAAGAAAAAGAGGTATGTTTACCTTCATTTATCCTAACACAACATATATGGGATAGAAAACAGAAGTTACAAACGTCCATATAAAAATTTCAATTTAAAATGAAATATAGAATGCGTGTCAGACTCAGTGCACATTAAAGGATGACTTGAGCTCGAATCGTGTATGTTTTTTCCAACTATGTGAGCTGGTCTGATAAGGCACCATCTTTTACAGAAGATGAATCCGTTGGCTGTTGGTACAAAAAGTATCATAGAATTCGAAGAGAGAAATGTGGGGATTGCTGCACTAACTGAAGATGTGGTGAAACCAGAGCTGTATTCTTAAAGTGCCATGTAATGCATTGTAGTAACAATTATGATTAGGAAGAATGGCATTAAAAACTATGGATTTTAAGTTCACCCTGCCATGTGCGCAAGTGTACTTTTGGTGATAATCTGTTGATTTTTTTGGATTAAGAAACAACATCCACATTGAGGGCAGCATGATGTTGACATTTTAATAGTCCAGAATCAGGAAATACAGCCCCCTACATTGAAGATGACTGACTTAGTTTCGTTCAAATTAGTGCAGTTGTTTGCAACTTGCAGTCCATAGACCTCCAAGGCTGAGGACAACTCCTAAAGTGACCACAAAAGGTAATCAGAAGCCCAAACATAATCCTAGTAGGTCTCTGTTTACATGAAAGCTTCTGTAGCTCCATGGAAACGTTTTAAAGGTCTGAAAATTGAATAAAAAAAAAGAAAAATCACTGAACTGTAACATTAGAACAAAATTTCATGCTGATTTAGGGATTACTGATTTCAGTAATTACAGCTTTACCTTCGCAAGTTGTTTCCTGCTTTGCCTCCTGCTTTGGTAAAAAACTGCGTTATTTGATTTCTAGGTTGAATTTGGCTGGTCTTAACTTACAGCTGCTGGTTTTTGAAATACTTCTGACAGGAGATTGAAGACCCTCTATTAATAAATTTCTTTGAACTATGCAAGTATCTGTAGGCTTTCTCTTTTTCAGGTTAAAACGGATACAGTTCCTTTTATTTTCCCATTCAGTCATGCATTTTTTTGTCTAATTCTGTAAAAGCTTCCAATGTGTGTCTTGAATTGTGGATAAGAGAACAAATTGTAATTCACTGTGCTTGTAAAATAGAACTAATATAATGCCTTCATTTCTCCTCTGTACTTTTCTATTAGAAATATAAGAATATTCACAATTCTGGCCTTAGTGTCATGCTGAGAGCTATGCTCAGTTAATTATCCGTTATGAGTCCCCCATGCTTGTTAAAGGTTATTGCTTCCGAGGTTAAAGGAACCATTTGTAAGAGCTTTTTGTTACCAAGAGTGACTTTATCACTTCTAAGTCCCTCCTTGCAAGTCTCCCAAGAGCTAACTGGAACACTGCCCTTCTTTTTGTGGCAGTGACCATGTAATATATATTTCTGGAGTCAAAAGCTGCGGCCTCTGTTGAAAGAGGTGGGTTTTCAGAAGTCAGAATTAAGGCTGCTGGTGTCGCGCAATGAACTTGATAACTTAGAAAAAGAAGATACAGTTGGTGTCAGATGCTGGTTAGTGGACCTTTACATGTAGGTAGGTGACTTGTGGTACCAGTTTGAGTGACAACAGCTCACATACAACAGTGGTTGTGTGTTTCAAAGCGTATTTTAGGCACTGACATGGAAACTGTTACAGCATCACAGATACCTGCAAGTCATGTTTCATAGTTGCCTATGCATTTGGACCACATTATGGTGGTTTTAAGAACAAGTGAGCTCTGCAGTTGGTCCGGCTGCAGAATGTGGAAAGATTGCTGACTGGATTGGCAAGGATGGAAGATTTGGAATGCGTGGAAGAAACTTTGTTAGATTAACTCATTATGAATTAAGAAAAATATATCAACCTCTTGAGGTCTGAGGAAACTTCGTGTGGTAAGGCAAGCACAAGAGATTGTCCTATCCCTGAATGAGGAGTTGTCACAGATTGTGGTGTAGAACATGAAGAAGGTGGCACTTCAGACACACTGTCTTGACACTGGTCGTTGTAATGGATGGAAGGGATGTGAATGCTGATCAACCTTGCCGTTACTCCCATTTTGCTCTACAGAACATGCTCAGCAAGAGAGCGTATCAGCAATATCACTGTGTAAGCAGTGTAAACTATGCTTTTGCTGTCCAAAAGCTTTGTGTAACCAGCCACTTAAATGCAAGGGTGGTAGCTCATGCCAGGCTGCTTGCCCCAGTGGAGCTACCTGATGGTGAACATGTTTCATCAGCCTTGTTGCCTGACCAGTGTATGAAGTGCCCCAGGGGGTGGAGGATTGGACCCTTTTGTGCTTTTGAATATCAACAAGAGATATCCAGGCAGGGCCTTAAATGAATGTTAAGATTGAAGTCACAGTGCATGTGCTTCACTGTATAATACACAGCAGGCTTTTCTTCAGCTCGGAGTACCCTAAGCTTCTCTTTTCATCTCCATTGAAAAGTGTCAGACTGGCATATATACACTGTGATGGGGGAAAAAACCCAACCATTCAGTGTCCACGTTTCTATGCATGTATACCTGGACTCAGCTTGATAAATGATCCTACCTTCAAGCCATACCAGTTAAAATTCTTAACTTGCCAATAGCAGTCTTGTAAAGGAAGAGCAGTAATGCAAACAAGTGGGACTAGGAGGGGAAAAAGTCCAGGTCATGCGAATCTACCAGTGGTTCTTGGCCTGAATATAAAACTTGTATTGATGGCTGCTCAGAAGAGGTCATGGTAGTGGTGCAGTCACAGATTGAGTCAGAGGGGGTGGCTGTGACCATCAGAAAGGAAATTTGTCCTCTGACAAGAAGAACATGCCCCGTACTCGGTTAGATCTTGGCCGACGTTTTCTTGGCTCCAATTGGAAAGACTTCAGCATTCAACATGGGATTTGGATGGAATCAAGCAAGCTGATCTGCATGAGGCTTCTCATAGATGCTCTGGAAATGTTATCAAGTGTTTCTGTCTGGAATCAGACGAGTCTGGAAGGCAAATGACACATACTGCAGGCTTTTTAATCTTTACCCAGTTGAAAAGCCATTGATTTTCTGAATTGTGCCATGTATTAGCTTTTAATTTATTTCCAGGATACTGAAGATGAGAGTTAAGGCTATAAAGCTCCATATCCATTTTCTTCACAATTCTCTTGGCAAGTTATTTAGCAATCTTACATAGTTTAAAAATGGAAGGTATTTTCTACATCACTTTCTTTTTCCACAAGTTTTCTGGTGGTTTTTTTGTCAGATCTGCTGTTTTTACTTAGTACTGAGGCTGGTGACCAGTCTTAAAAGAAGTTCTGCAGTGTAACAGAATGATAAACTGCATAAGAAAATCAGTATCTACAAGTTAAACTAGAATTTGTGTCACTGAAATGAGCTACGGTTGTTGAAACATGGTAAATCTGAGGATAACAAGTTCTAAATAGATAAATTAAGAACAATGTATACTGGATTATTGGAATTTGCAACTTCTTGTTAAAACCAGTAGATAACGATGTAGTAGTGGATATTTTCAGTAACAAAACATGTTTGATATGCAGTTAAAAATATTTGTAATGATACCTAGAAACTTGTGCTGTACTTATTAACTGTTAGGATAGAGAGTTCCTTTGTGAATCTTTTAATTTCTGCATCCATCTGTTTTAGAGCTTCTTGTCAGTTCTTGGTTACTATTGGAGGCATGGTATGACATTTTGAAGACTTTTAGTGGTTGGATAGGAAATTCTAGTTCACAAATACGAAGCTTCAGAGTTTTGTTTGTTTTAACAAATGTGTTTAACCAATATGAAAGTTTGCATTTTTAGAATTTAATTAAAAACCCCATGAAATAGTAGAAGCTATGAGATGAGCTTACGTTACAGAAAGCAAACCAGACTTTTTGTTAAATGCAGAATTGCCTTTTCTTAATCTAAAAGCTCATATTGACTCTGAAATGGATCCATTTTACATGATGTAGACCATAGTGAAAATACAAGGTTTTTATTAAGATACTCTTTTTGATATGGCATCCAATGCCATTATGAATTGCCACTTTAAATCATCTGTTTAAAATTAGGGAAAATTGAAACTGTCAATAAGAATTTGCTTTATAGAGCAAATACAGAGAGAAGAGTGCAATCTTGGGGGACTCAAGTGTGAGAGAAAGTCATATTTTTCTAAGCCATCAGAGCTGACAGGTTCAAGATCATGCAACCAGTAGGTTATTTTGTCAGTAGAAAACAAATATTCTTGATTCTAATCTTATTTTGAATGTCCAGCTAAATATTAATTGATGTGTTCTTACTGCAGCATTGATAGTCCAAGTTTCTTTTAAAATTCAATAGTTCTATGCAGCCTGGTTTATTTAAATAGGTATGGTTATCTTCTGTATGCAGGCTTATCAGTAACAACAGAACAAATAAATCCTCATGGTTCCACGGTACGGAAAACAGAAGCGCGAGTTGAAGAGGCTTTTCGGAACAAACAAAAACCCACGATGGCGGTGTGGCCCAACTCTGCGAATAAATGTGCGTGTGAGTACCCTGGGTGAGAATTGTGCACAATTAGAGGTACCTCCAGTGGCAAACATCTCAAATGTGTCTCTGCTACTGTTTACTGATTATTTCCAGGAGCAATTTTAGGCATGAAACACACAGAAGTTCAGGAAATACTCTTTTTCTGCCTACATGAAATCACTGCCCAAGAGGTTGTAAAAAAGCAGGATTTCTGATTTTGTGAATAACTTTTTTCTGGTATGACATAAGTATTACGTTTTCCTTTGTAAAAAAACTGTTTTCAGTGCAAGACAACTCTGATCAAGTGAGAAGATCACTTTTATCTGTTTAAGTGTTAATATTTTTTTATTCTGTGTGTATATTCACAGGTACATGTCTACATGCTGCTTCGTACTCTCATGTGCAATACAGTTATTCACTTCCTATTTTCAGAACGTACAGTATCATGCTAGAAGTTAGACAAGACATTACAAATTTAACCGTATTTTCCCTTGTGACACTGGATTTTCAGTAGTCAGTATCCATTATTGGAGCATGCTTAGATACTCTGCGGCCTACAGGATTAGTCCAATTAATTGATCAATATCTCTAGATTTGTGAGAAATGACTGTGGTAAGGTAATCAGAGGCACTGCTAATTATTTTCAAGAGGTGAGTTGATTAGAACAGGTAAATACACAACAGATATTTTTGTTATAAACAAAATAAAGGCTATAAGAGAAAGTATGAGGGATAGTTGTACATGGCTTTCCTACTGAAGATGTGGAATCCATTATTAATATATTATTAATAGCATTATCAGTTATTGCTTAACAAATTGATCGATTGGATCTGACAGATTCTCACTGGTCTTTGTGCTCTCCTTCATGATGCTTTTCCTTGATGAGAGAGTTTTCTAGGCATGGTGATAACTGCCCAGAGATGATCTTTGTTTATATATGAATGATAGTGTTGATGTCAAATAGTTTAATTAATTAGAAGTGCATGGTTTTATTTCCTGAAGCTGTAATTTCTTCCGTTAAAGGAATTAAAGTCAATCGCACAGAGTTATGGCTTCAATAAATTGTTATATAATAAATTGGTGATGTGGATCCAAGCTGTTTTTTATTCATTTGGCAGCTTGTGCAAAAACAGAGAGGAGGAGGGAATGGATTCTCAGGGGTTTTTTTAGTTTCTGATGAAATCTGAGATGGAGATTCTCACTCTGGCTGATGCACAGAGCAGTTTCTGGGCTCTGCATGCTGTGCAGCAGACGGCAGGGTTTATAGGCCTCCACGCTGGACGTCTCTTGGCAAGAGAGAGAGCCATTACTGGGGACTTGTATAAAAAGAAGCTCTGGTACCTCTGCCCTCTTCTCCACTTAATGTTGTGGACGCAGCGGCAGTTGTTTGAAAACTAGAGCCATCGACTGAAGGAAACTGGCAGCGTTTTTGTGTGTAAACAAAAAATAAGTTAGTGTTAAGGCACTGTTCCTGCTTCTGTTTTGATGATATAGGTTGGAAGGCAAGAAAATTTGAGGCTTGGTGGTGGTTGGGACTATGATCTAATGAAAATGTGCCTTTTGAGGCTGAGTCTGGGAAAGACAGTGAGTCCAGAAGAGATGGGATGCATCTGGTAATCAAGAGAGGGAACCAGGAACTGATGAGCAATCAGAAACCTGCAGAAGAAATTCAAGTAGTACATGGCACACTTAAAGATTGATGCAGTAAGGTCAGTGGAGACAAGGAACTGGGAAGAGATGCAGTCTTAGAAGGGTGTCTGGAGAAAGGAGCTGGAGTAAAGCAAGAGCAGAACTGAGCAGATTGCAGGGAGTTCGTGTAGCAGCAAATTGCACAGTGGATTATGATTGCATAAATGGAAGAAACAAGTTCAGAGAAGGGCTTTTTGAACGGAGATTATTTTAGAGGTAGAGTGGAAATTTTTTTATGGTCAAGAACTAAGATTTTTTTTTTTAAGACTGAAATGTGTTACACAAGCAGAGATGAGACAATGATTCACATATTTTAATTACACGAGGTAAAACTGTACTTTCCAATTAGTAATTCTGAATATCTCCCATTTTTTCTGCTATTTGAATTTGAATTACTGTTTTTCCTTAGCTAACTCATACAACAACTAAGAAAAAAACCCAACACCAATCATAATGTTATTTTCCTGATTAAATTTTTTTAGGAGCTTTGTTTACAGTATTGTAGAAAATAGCTACCAAAAGGTCAATTCAGATGCAGCACTTGAGCACCCTAAAAGAAATCATTGTCAAGCATCTTCTTTAAAAACAGAGTGGACTACACACGGTGCAGCAGCCTTCCCCAGTTTAAAGCCCTTTTTACTGTTCAGGGATAGTACAATAGAGAATGAGAGTTAGTTTATCATGTGTTTATTTGTTTTCTGAGGTTATGTATTTTCTATGACTATTTAGTTGTTTAGTTACTATTATAATTTAATGTAATTATTCTTATATGTATTATTCTATTCTATTTATTTATTTATTATTGTTTTGTGATTTATTTTTTCTAGTGTATTTCAGCTTTTTAAAAAATTTGATTAGACCAGATGGGCTATCAGGAATGTGGCACAAAATAGTTGTTCTGTTTGAAGCCATGGTGATACCGATTCCTGACTTAGATTTAATCTGCAACTCCCATTTCCCTTGTTGAAGGTACACCTGTGGTGGGTGGTGTGTCACAGTATAGATGTGTTTTAAAAGTGCTGCATTCCTAGAAGTTGCTGAGAATCCATTTGGGAGAGTTAAGCCACAGATAATTTTAAATTATTTCCATACTGAGTGTGTATTTTGAGAACAGTGTAAGTGTTTTGGTGGGAACTTAGAATAAGACATAGACTGAGAGCCTGGTATAAGTAGTGGTATTATCATAGAATCACAAAATCACTGTGGTTGGAAGGAATCTCTGGAAATCATCTGGCCTTAACTCCCCTGCTCAGCGCTGGTTGCTCAAAGCTGTTTCCAGTTCTTTTTTAATATCTCCAAGAATGTATGCTCCACAACGTGCTTGGGAAACTTCTTTTAGTGCTTGACCACGCTCATAGTAATTTCTTTTTCTTAATTTTGAATTGAATGTCTTGTTTTTCTATCTCATTACCTCTTGTGACTGGCTACCAGTGAGAAGGATCTTGTTTCTCCTTTGTATGGATGTGTGTGGGAAAGTTAAAAACCAGCAATTTTCAGTTTGGTGAGTCTGGTAAATTAATCATTGCTGAGTGGTTTACAGGTTACTGCATAAAACATTAGAATCTCTTTAATTATTGGGATGCTGTGTAGTAAAACTTGGTCCTACTGCTCTATTTTGCCAGTAGATGGAGTATGTTGCATATTATTTTACTGACTTGCAGTTGCTTCCTTTAGCAGTCACATAAATAAACTGCATGGGGAAGATTTGGTTTTACATTCTTATCTTCTTTTGCAGTATTTAACAATAATATATTGCAGTGATAGACTGCAGATTTTTTTTTCTTTATAGAGAATATGTCTTTCATGCTGTCTGATAAATATGATAGCTGTGAAAATGGCATTTGGAGTAAATAAAAAAATTGAAATATTTTGTGTTATATAAAGTATTAAAAAGATAAGTTTTATATAAAAGTCATTTTATGAAATAGGAAGTAAACGCATAACTTTTCAACATAACTGAAGTGATTAGTGGTCTCTATAGAAAGAACTTCAGGGAGCTCAAGCAACGATATAAAAAAAAATGCTGCAGAAAATGTAGTTCCTAAATAAATATTTTGTACTCCCTTTTGTCATTTTGGTTTATTTGCTGTGGTGATCTTTGCTATCATACAAAACTGTTTCTGCTTTATGATGGAAAGCTGGTTTTGTTTTGGCAGGAGTATTTTTAAAGCAGATTTTTAGAAAGAAAAGGTCTTGTCTTTATAATCTTTCTCATAAACCGTTTTATTCTCAGTCTTTGTCTAATTTTCATCTGTGCAGTCTGTTTTCTTTGACCTCGCTCGTACAGTGGTGTCAATGATCGCTGTGCTTCAGTCATTCATGTGGCTGCAGCAGTGCCTCATCAAAGGACATAGCAGACCAGATGCCCTATGTTTTTTTGTTGTTTTTACCTCTTCTGCCTTGTGGACTAGTTCTAAATTTGGATTCAGAATTTGGATACTGGCACATGAACAGTCATCCAGATGCTAACACTGAAATCCTGCTGATATATTGTCACAAATCCCACACTTGCTAGTGTTTTCTTTTCTTCTCCTGCTCTCCAGAAAAGGGATTTGACTTGGATTAATGTTCCCTTGAGACAGAGGCAAGTGCTGTAACTCGACGAACACCATTAAAAATTGTTTTCTGCAATTTGAGGAGATCTTTACTCAGAGCTGAGACAACTGTCTCTGTTTCTTTATCATTTTGTTCTGGGTAGTGTAGGAGTTGGCATTCTGAATGAGAGTAGTTTGATCTCCTGTATCTGACACTGGCTTCAACCGGATGCTTTAAAAAGGAAATTGCAAAGGTTTGAGAAATAAAAATTACTTTGTTCATGCCTAATTTTGAAGGAAATATTCTGAGTTAGTTAACAGTTCCTCTAAAATTCCTAGGCTTTGTTGTTATTCTAATTTAAAACACCATGTAGTGAAGTTGTGGGTTTTCTAATAAATCCTGCCTGCTTGTTCTTTTCTTGGGAATCCCATCAAACTTCTGGACTCAGTGGTATCTAGAGGTACAGAAACTTTTTTTTTTTACTATGAAATATCTACCTCTTGAATTACTCGAATGATATTTTTTTTTTTTTTCCTCTGACAAAGGGCAGAGTGTCCTACAATTTACCTGATCCGTGACTCTTTTTTGGTATTCCCTTGTTATTCATCTCCTTTCTCACTCAGTAATGCAAGATGGCTCAGCCTCCCTTTAGAAGGTTTTCCTGAAAGCGTTATCACCACCTTTCTGATAAGCATGGTAAAAAGAGAGACTTTTTAGAAAAAGTTTTTTGTAATGAGTTCTTCTAAAACAAATGTTTTCCCTTAAGTGTATGCACAAGTGATATAATAAAAAAT